AAGTAAAAGACTTTGATAAACACACCTGCATTACACACCACTTTCTCTTCAGTTCTTCTGTTAAACCTATTTTCTTCTCCGGGAGGCTGAGAACTACTCTGTGAATGTCTCACATATGATACAACTAATTTGCAGAGCCTTTTTATTATCTTTAGACCATTACACTTCAGATAAGAAGTCTGTATCTGCATTACTCCTGGTGACCCTGACAACTCTCCTCAGACACTGATAGAGCAGCTAGACTTCCAAAAATCCTTTGAAAAATTGAATCACAAAATCTTTCAGCTTGGCACTTAGAGGTAGCCTTTGAAGCATTTTTCTTTTTCCCTTAGAAATTCAGGAATTATGGTTTTTAGCAGAAAAGTTCCTGTACTAGTATAATAAAAGTTTTAGATGGTAATTTCTGTTTACTGTCAGTATCCTAAAAAAATTCTGGTGTGTAACCAGAACAGCAGAGAGACACAGAAAGGTCAATTATTCTTTATATTAACTAGTCTGCAAATATAACTGTATCACTAAGTTATGAGCGTAAAAGGTGAATTCTGTGTTTGGCCATGATGAGTTAAGGCAGAAATCCCTAGCTTCTCATTAGTTCATCATATCATTGTGCTTTAGATATCAAATGCCAGTTCTCTTTTTTGTTGTGTAAATAGTAATGCTCCTGACTCCACCCCTGTGCTGTCATGAGACCCCACCTGAAGCACTGCGTCCAACTCACAGGCCTGCAATGTAAGAAGGTTGGAGCAAGTCTAGAGAAGGTCCACAAAGTTTATCAGAGGGCTGGAGCACCTCTCCTATGAAGACAGGTTGAGGAAGTTGGGGCTGTTCAGCCTGAAGAAGAGAAGGCTCCGGGGAGACCTTATAGCAGCCTTCCAGTTACCTACAGGAAAGGTGGGGAGGGACTTTTCACCAGAGAGGTTAGAGATAGGGCAAGGGGTAGTGGCTTCAAGCTGAAAGAGGATAGATTTAGATCAGTTAGTAGGAATGAATTATTTAGTGTGAGGGTGATGAGACAATGAAACAGGTTGTCCAGGGAAGCTGTGTATGCCCCCTCCCTGGAGGAGTTCAAGGCCAGGTTGGATGGGGCTTTCAGCAACATGGTCTAGTGGGAGATGCCCCTGGCCATGGCAGGGAGGGTAGAATGAGGTGATCTTTAAGGTCCTTTCCAACCCAAACCACTGTATGATTCTATTATTGTAGTAGTGTAATGATTTAATAAAATCTTGGAAAACATGTTCCTTTGCTTTTTTCTTTATTGTGATAAGTTACAGATTTTACTAAAAGGTTCTCAGGACCTTGCACTGCTTGTGTGAGTCATTATCTTTATAATTTTTCCTTTTGTCTTTGGGAAGATAGTTAATTTTTAATCTTCATAATCAACAACTAAACTTAACTGCAGCTCACAAGATCATTTATATATCTGTAGTGTCAGTATTTTGAGTTGTTAATGGTAACTAAATATTATTGTAAATGAAAGGCATTTTATGGGTTGATAAGATTGTGTTGCATGGTATTGTAGGTCTTTGCTCAAGATGGAAGAGTGGTTGTAGTTGCTTTACTTGTCTGGAGTAACAGTCACATGCATGGCTTTTCTTGCTGATTCTTTGTTAGGATATTGTCTTTGCCATTAATGATGACTTGAAGATACTTAAAATCTTTCCATTTTACCTGTAGAATGCAGTTTAGGATTTTAATTTCTTTCAGAAGTGTTTCTGTTATTACTAGTGAGGGTAATAACTGAGTTTAATTTGAGCTTGGCTATTAAAGAAAAGGACACTTTTAAATACCAGCCTGGCTAGGTTAGGGTATTGCAGGGATCAAGTGAAACCATTCTCCCTGTTGAAGAAGCAAAGAGACGTGAAGCTGAGAGACATGGTAAAAGATCTTTTCCCAAGGTCCTCTAATTTCTGCTGATTGTGTCTCAGGTAGTTCATTATAATTTAACAACTAGTTTGTGTTTTGATTTACAAAGACTTCATAAATAAAGGTTCCAAAACTGCTTGGTCTCCAATGCAGACTGGGCTGACACAAATATATGTGTCCAGAAGTTGGGAGACAGCACTGGGAGACTGGTATGTGGGCTTATAGGAGGGAAGTAATCTTCATAGCTGATGCAGTACATGATCTTCCAAGTGTTTTATATTTCTTTACACCTAATAACAGTATAAGCAATGTCAGGGATTATAACTTAATTTTGCAGAGAATTACCTTAGCAATGGTGAAATCACAGAATCATGGAATCATCAGTTGGAAGAGACTTCCAGAGATCATCTAGTCTAACTCCCCTGATAAAGCAGGATCCCCTAGAGTACATTACACAGGGCTGTATCCAGGTGGGTCTTGAATATCTCCAGGGAAGGAGACTTCACAACCTCCCTGGGCAGCCTGTTCCAGGGCTCTGTCATCCTCACCATAAAGAAGATATTCTTCATATTTAAATGGAACCTCCTGTGTTCCAGTGTGTGCCTGTTGCCTGTCGTCCTATCACTGGGAAGTACTGAAAAGAGTCTGGCTCCATCCTCCTTGCACCCACCCTTTGGATACTAATAGGCAATTGTAAGGTCTCCGTTCAACCTTCTCTTCTTGAGGCTAAAGAGTCCCAGCTCTCTCAGCCTTTCCTCATAAGAGAGATGCTCCAATCCCCCACTCATCTTCATTCCTGTCTGCAGGACTCTCTCCAGTAGTTCCCTGTCTCCCTTGAGCTGTGGAGCCCAGAACTGGACTCAGTATTCCAGCTCAGCAGGGCAGCGTAGAGGGGGAGAATGACCTCTCTCGACCTAATGGCCACATTCTTCCCTATGCACCCCAGGATTCTGTTGGCCCTCTTGGCAGCAAGGACACACTGCTGGCTTATGGATAATGTACTGGTTTGTGAACAATCCATGTGTAACAAACAAGTTATTTTTGCCTCTGAGTGCAAATACTGTTGAACAGTTGTGTTCAGGTTCAACTTCCCAGCAGAGAAAGCTGGAAAAGTCTTCAAGCATCAACTCACATGTGATGCTGACTAAATGCATATGGCTTAAGTGGTTCCTGTCTTCAGTTTTATGCTTTGCTTCTCTCTTGAAGGCTGCTGTTGCTGCAGTTGTGCTTATATGGAACATGTGTGTTTACATTTATGAGCCAAACTGTAAAAATGTGTTTGGGAGCAGAGTCACATAAGCTAACATTTGTAGCTGCTAAAATTCTTGTGGCTGGAAAGTACAAGCAGAGCATTCCTTGTTTGCTGGATGCAGCTGAGGAGCAGTAAGTAGTAAAAATTACTGTGATTCAAAATAAGCAGAGAAAAAGGTCAAAGTTTTATTTATTTGGGCTTTCCATATTGAAAACCTGTTAAGTTGAATCAGGTAGAAAAAAGCATTCCAGTAATTTCAAGAGTGTGGTTTAGCGTGGCTAGATATGGCAGGGGATGGTCTCATGACCATTCCTGTCCCTTGCGTACCTGTGAGAACTCTCACTGTGGGCACAGATGCCAATGCTGACAGTTTTGGGGCATTAGTGACAAAATTATTTCGAGCAAAGGTTAGTTTTTCAGACCAGCAGTCTGAGTCACAGCAGGGGGAAAAGCCATCAATACAGAAGAACTAAAAGTTAAAATTATAGACTATTTGGAAGAACTTTGGGATTAGCTCTGAGTGTAGACTTTGACTTATTGGCATCAATTTGGCAAACGCTTGCAAAAACTGCAGTAGTGTGATTTTGAAATTCTGCAGAGGCCTGGACAGGAGCAAGTTATTCCTGTTGCCACACACATGGAAGAGCCATGTTGGAAGGTCTGGAGCAGCTCTCCTGTGATGACAAGCTGAGAGAGTTGGGATGTTCAGCCTAGAGTAGAGAAAGCTCTGGGGAGACCTTCTAGCAGCCTGAAGGGCGCTTACAGGAATGCTTGGGAGGGACTTTTCACAAGGGCATGAAGCAATAGGGTGAGAGAGGATGGTTTAAAATTGGAAGAGGATGGGTTTAGGTTACACATTAGGAGGAGGTTCTTTAGTGTGAGGGAAGTGAGATGCTGGCACATGTTGCCCAGAGAAGTTGTGGATGCCTCATCACTGGAGGTGTTCAATTTCAGGTAGGTCTGGGACAACTGGCTGCCACCAGCTGGCTGCCAGACACTTCTGCAGCGCCAACTCACCGCCAGTACAGCTGCACGCGGGTGGCAATCATTCAGCACCATGATCAGAACCTTGGGGACAGGCAGAGCTGCTCATGGTGTCTGATTTTTCCAAGGAAACTATGTGCATATAGGGGAGTGTATGAGTCACACAATTCATAACATGAAAAAATAACACTGAGATAAAAGCAACTCAGAGCACAGTGAGCAGAGCCACCGGCTCCTCGAGGTTCTGTTCATGGTGCTACAGGAGTGCCACATGCTGCTTGGCAGCCAGCTGTCCTGGCAGTGAGTTAGTGGTGTAGGCGTGTCCGGTAGCCAGTTGTCCCTTTCCCAGGTCAGGTTGGATGGGACTTTGAGCAACCTAGTCTAGTGGGAGGTGTCCTGCCCATGGCAGGGGGGTTGGAACTTAGTGATCTTGAAAGTACCTTCCAGGCAAAACTGTTCTATGATTCTGCAAAAAGGCTGATTGCAAACACTAGAGATTGGCTTCTCTAGTGTATTTTATCCTCATATATTGCAGAAGTGCAATATTTGTGATTCAGCAGCAGCTGGATAAAGGAGTAGGGACAGTTGTAGTCTTGGAGGAGTGGACTACAGAGCAACTGCATGTTTCTCAGAGACAGGATTTTCGTATTGGGATATCAGGTAATTGGAAAATCATTTGGCAGGATTGTTCTCCAGAAAATGTAGTGTTTCTGTGTCATCCTGAGAAGAGGTCTTCTGAGCCCAGAGGAATTTGGCATTCTGAGTGAAATACTGCTCTGCAGGCAAGAAGACCTGATGGGTGACAGATTCAGATATTAGCTGATTATAACAGATATCCAAGACCTTTTTTAAAAGTTAAATATTTGCTGATGTGTTTCCTGCCTTCCATTCCCTGTTTCAGAAAATCTTCAGAAGAACTGGACATGGATAAAGTAACAGCAGCCATGGTACTCACCAGTTTATCCACCAGCCCTTTGGTCCGCAGCCCTCCTGTCCGACCCAATGGTAAGTATTCCGCACCTGGGTAGGGGCTCTGAGCAGATGTGCCACGGCTGTGTGCATGGGGCTTGTTCTCAGGAGTTGTGGCTGCAGTGGAGGACGAGGGGTAAGTGGCTGTCTTCTGGCAGTGACCCGTGCTAGGAATCATACTGAACTTTGCTCTGACCTATCATAAAATCATAGAATAGTTTCAGTAGGAAGGAACCTTTAAAGGTCATCTAGTCCAACCCCACTGCAATAAGCATGGCATCTTCAGCTAGATCAGGTTGCTCAGAGCCCTGTCCAAACTGACTTTTAATGTTTCCAGGGATGGGGCATCTACCACCCCTCTGGGCAAACTGCTGCAGTCTTTTACCATCCTAATGGTAAAAAAATTCTTTGTATGCTCTATTATAAATACACCCTTTTCTAGTTTAAAACCAATACCCCTTGTCCTGCCACTACAGACCCTGCTAAAAAGTTTGTCTGTTCTTTCTTACAAGCCTACTTTAAGTACTGAAAGGCCACAATAAGGCCTCCTTGAAGTCTTCTCTTTTCTGGGCTGAACAACCCCAACTCTCTCAGCCTGTCTTCTCAGAAGAGGTGTTCTAGTCCTCTCACCATTTTTGTGCCCACCTCTGGGCCTGCTTCAACACGTCTATGTCTGTCTTGTGCTGAGGGCTCCGAACTGCATGCTGTATTCCAGGTGGGGTCTCACCAGAGCAGAGGGGCAGAATCCCCTCCCTGGCCCTGCTGGCCACTTCTCTTGATGTAGCCCAGGATGCAGTTGGCTCTCTGGGCTGCAAGCGAACATTGCTGGCTTATGTCCAGTTTTTCATCCACCAGTGCCCCTAAGTCCTTTTTCTCAGGGCTGCTCTCTATCCCTTCATCCCCCCAACCTGTGTTGGTACTGAAGATTGCCCCAACCCAAATGCAGGACCTTGTATTTGGAGTGCAAGGACTGTGGTGCAACATTAGCAGAAATTGGAAGAAACATTTTCTGTAAACTTAGAGTGCATCCAGTTTATGAAATGGGAGATGCCTCCTTTCATGAATGGGACATGAAGGCTGCAGAAGGTCTCTTATCCTCACTAAAATGCCAATTTTCCAAACAGCTTATTTGCATTTGCAAATATGCAGTAAACACGACAGCACTTGTTCATGTCCCCACCCCATGAAAATCAGATGAGTTTTTACTCAGCCCTATGATAAAGCAAAGCACTTTCAGATCACAGCCCCTGGCTGAGAAGCTGTGCACTAATGGTCTGCACAGCAACACATCTAGTTTTGCTGATGCAGGATTAGACACTCAATTCCTGTGCCTTTTGTAACTCTCTGGTGATCTACCATCATCACATCCATAATCCCTTAAAAGACTACTCCATTTGTGGAATAGTGGAAGACAAAATAAATCTAAGAAGTTAGTGGTAATAATGAAATTACTAATGAAATACAATTAATCATAGAATTATTAAGACTGGAAAAGACCTTGAAGATCACCAAGTCCAACCATCAGCTACACCCCCGTGACCACTAAACCATCTATCTCCTGGAACACCACGTTTACCTGTTTTTTTAAAACGTCCAGGGACGGTGAGTCCACCACCTCCCTGGGCAGCCTGTTGGGACTTTTCACAAGGGCATGAAGCAATAGGGTGAGAGAGGATGGTTTAAAATTGGAAGAGGATGGGTTTAGGTTACACATTAGGAGGAGGTTCTTTAGTGTGAGGGAAGTGAGATGCTGGCACATGTTGCCCAGAGAAGTTGTGGATGCCTCATCACTGGAGGTGTTCAATTTCAGGTAGGTCTGGGACAACTGGCTGCCACCAGCTGGCTGCCAGACACTTCTGCAGCGCCAACTCACCGCCAGTACAGCTGCACGCGGGTGGCAATCATTCAGCACCATGATCAGAACCTTGGGGACAGGCAGAGCTGCTCATGGTGTCTGATTTTTCCAAGGAAACTATGTGCATATAGGGGAGTGTATGAGTCACACAATTCATAACATGAAAAAATAACACTGAGATAAAAGCAACTCAGAGCACAGTGAGCAGAGCCACCGGCTCCTCGAGGTTCTGTTCATGGTGCTACAGGAGTGCCACATGCTGCTTGGCAGCCAGCTGTCCTGGCAGTGAGTTAGTGGTGTAGGCGTGTCCGGTAGCCAGTTGTCCCTTTCCCAGGTCAGGTTGGATGGGACTTTGAGCAACCTAGTCTAGTGGGAGGTGTCCTGCCCATGGCAGGGGGGTTGGAACTTAGTGATCTTGAAAGTACCTTCCAGGCAAAACTGTTCTATGATTCTGCAAAAAGGCTGATTGCAAACACTAGAGATTGGCTTCTCTAGTGTATTTTATCCTCATATATTGCAGAAGTGCAATATTTGTGATTCAGCAGCAGCTGGATAAAGGAGTAGGGACAGTTGTAGTCTTGGAGGAGTGGACTACAGAGCAACTGCATGTTTCTCAGAGACAGGATTTTCGTATTGGGATATCAGGTAATTGGAAAATCATTTGGCAGGATTGTTCTCCAGAAAATGTAGTGTTTCTGTGTCATCCTGAGAAGAGGTCTTCTGAGCCCAGAGGAATTTGGCATTCTGAGTGAAATACTGCTCTGCAGGCAAGAAGACCTGATGGGTGACAGATTCAGATATTAGCTGATTATAACAGATATCCAAGACCTTTTTTAAAAGTTAAATATTTGCTGATGTGTTTCCTGCCTTCCATTCCCTGTTTCAGAAAATCTTCAGAAGAACTGGACATGGATAAAGTAACAGCAGCCATGGTACTCACCAGTTTATCCACCAGCCCTTTGGTCCGCAGCCCTCCTGTCCGACCCAATGGTAAGTATTCCGCACCTGGGTAGGGGCTCTGAGCAGATGTGCCACGGCTGTGTGCATGGGGCTTGTTCTCAGGAGTTGTGGCTGCAGTGGAGGACGAGGGGTAAGTGGCTGTCTTCTGGCAGTGACCCGTGCTAGGAATCATACTGAACTTTGCTCTGACCTATCATAAAATCATAGAATAGTTTCAGTAGGAAGGAACCTTTAAAGGTCATCTAGTCCAACCCCACTGCAATAAGCATGGCATCTTCAGCTAGATCAGGTTGCTCAGAGCCCTGTCCAAACTGACTTTTAATGTTTCCAGGGATGGGGCATCTACCACCCCTCTGGGCAAACTGCTGCAGTCTTTTACCATCCTAATGGTAAAAAAATTCTTTGTATGCTCTATTATAAATACACCCTTTTCTAGTTTAAAACCAATACCCCTTGTCCTGCCACTACAGACCCTGCTAAAAAGTTTGTCTGTTCTTTCTTACAAGCCTACTTTAAGTACTGAAAGGCCACAATAAGGCCTCCTTGAAGTCTTCTCTTTTCTGGGCTGAACAACCCCAACTCTCTCAGCCTGTCTTCTCAGAAGAGGTATTCTAGTCCTCTCACCATTTTTGTGCCCACCTCTGGGCCTGCTTCAACACGTCTATGTCTGTCTTGTGCTGAGGGCTCCGAACTGCATGCTGTATTCCAGGTGGGGTCTCACCAGAGCAGAGGGGCAGAATCCCCTCCCTGGCCCTGCTGGCCACTTCTCTTGATGTAGCCCAGGATGCAGTTGGCTCTCTGGGCTGCAAGCGAACATTGCTGGCTTATGTCCAGTTTTTCATCCACCAGTGCCCCTAAGTCCTTTTTCTCAGGGCTGCTCTCTATCCCTTCATCCCCCCAACCTGTGTTGGTACTGAAGATTGCCCCAACCCAAATGCAGGACCTTGTATTTGGAGTGCAAGGACTGTGGTGCAACATTAGCAGAAATTGGAAGAAACATTTTCTGTAAACTTAGAGTGCATCCAGTTTATGAAATGGGAGATGCCTCCTTTCATGAATGGGACATGAAGGCTGCAGAAGGTCTCTTATCCTCACTAAAATGCCAATTTTCCAAACAGCTTATTTGCATTTGCAAATATGCAGTAAACACGACAGCACTTGTTCATGTCCCCACCCCATGAAAATCAGATGAGTTTTTACTCAGCCCTATGATAAAGCAAAGCACTTTCAGATCACAGCCCCTGGCTGAGAAGCTGTGCACTAATGGTCTGCACAGCAACACATCTAGTTTTGCTGATGCAGGATTAGACACTCAATTCCTGTGCCTTTTGTAACTCTCTGGTGATCTACCATCATCACATCCATAATCCCTTAAAAGACTACTCCATTTGTGGAATAGTGGAAGACAAAATAAATCTAAGAAGTTAGTGGTAATAATGAAATTACTAATGAAATACAATTAATCATAGAATTATTAAGACTGGAAAAGACCTTGAAGATCACCAAGTCCAACCATCAGCTACACCCCCGTGACCACTAAACCATCTATCTCCTGGAACACCACGTTTACCCGTTTATTTAAAACGTCCAGGGACGGTGAGTCCACCACCTCCCTGGGCAGCCTGTTCCAATGCCTCACCCCTCTTCCTCTGAAGAAATTTTTCCTAATATCCAATCTGAACCTCCCCTCGTGCAGCTTGACTCCATTTCCTCTTGTCCTATCTCTAGTCACTAGGGAGAAGAGGCCAACACCCACCTCACCACAACCTCCTCTCAGGTAGTTGTAGAGAGCAATGAGGTCTCCCCTCAGCCTCTTCTCTAGGCTGAACAGCCCCAGGTCCCTCAGCCTCTCCTCATAAGACCTGTTCTCCAGACCCCTAATCAGCATAGTTGCCCTTCTCTGCACCCTCTCCAGCACCTTGATGTCCTTCTTATACTGTAGCACCGCAAACTGCACACAGTACTCAAGGTGCGGCCTCACCAAGGCTGAGGGGCAGGATCACCTCCCTGGTCCTGCTGGTCACACTATTCCTGATGCAGGCCAGGATGCTGTTGGCCTTCTTGGCCACTTGGGCACACTGCTGGCTCATGTTCAGCCAGCTGTCAATCAGCACCCCCAGGTCCCTCTCTGCTGGGCAGCTCTCCAGCCACTCCTTCCCAAGCCTCTAGTGCTGCTGGGGGTTGTTGTGGCCGAAGTGCAGGACCCAACATTTGACCTTATTGAAACTCATGCAATAGGCCTTGGCCGATCAATCAAGCCTGTCTAAATCCCTCTGCAGAGCCTTCCTGCCCTCAAGCAGATTGACACTCCCACTCCGCTTAGTGTCATCTGCAAACTTACTGAGGGTGCACTCTATCCCCTCATCCAAATCATCAATAAAGATGTTAAACAGGAGCAGCCCCAGCACTGCACCCTGGGGAACACCACTCATGACCAGTCACCAACTGGATTTAACTCCATTGAACACAACTCTTTGGGCCTGGCCATCCAACCAGTTTTTCATCCAGCAAAGCGTGTGCACATCCAAGCCATGAGCAGCCAGCTTCTCCAGGAGAATGCTGTGGGAAACCTTGTCAAAGGGCTTGCTAAAGTCAAGGTAGACAACATCCACAGCCCTTCCCTCACACAGTATGTAGATCACCCTGTCATAGAAGGAGATGAGGCTAGTCAAACAGGACCTGCCCTTCATGAACCCATGCTGACTGGGCCTGATAGCTTGGTTGTTCAGCATGTACTGCATAATGGTTCTCAGGATGGTCTGATAATCTCTGCAAGCTTGACTTGAGTTACAAGAGTTTTTCAATGTTACTTTTTTAAAGTATAATTTAAATTAGGACACCCATGTTAGGATGTCTCAGCATTGCCTCTAGGAGTCTGGCTTTTTTTACTCACTTTTTTATTGTTAAATAGGCAGTAAATGCCCTCTTACTGTAAATAATTTGAGGACTTTGAGGAGTATGTACATGATGTGAGTTAATAGGGAAGCAGTCTTCGCATTTCTTCATGAAAACAGGGGCAATCCATTAAATGTTGTTCTTAAAAGGAATTTGTACCAAATGTCCCAGCTTTAAAGATTTTTGAGCAAATACTGTGGTTTTTCCATTTATTTCCAGAAAAATGTAAGTTTTATCTATTTAGCTGGAATTCTAGCCTCGAATGCACATGGTTCCTGTTCGTGTGCTTGCCATTGTTGAACACCAAAAGTATTTATGGAGTACCAGTGCTCTGAGGAGCCCTGGGAAACCTCTGACAGTGACATCCCCAGGGACTGTCCTTCCTCAGGGCTGGAGATTGCTAGCCCCTAAGGAAGGCCAGTGGAAGGGTAAAAACATGCTGGCTCTCTAGCTGCTCAGCTCACGGCCAAAACCACAGATAAAGATGGATTTGTGCTGATGTGACAGGCAGGGATTTAGAGTGATCAAGGTACACATATGCCCCACGTTGCAGCCCCAATCACAAGCAGGTGCTCCAGTGTGGGGCAATGTGGTATCTGCCACCTGAGACCCTTTGAGCAGATGACACTTGTCAGGAGTGGCAGTGCACATCAGCTAGTGGGTGTCGACGGGGAAGGTCTTCCAAACATGCCCGTTTGAATTGCTAATAGGTAAATGGTAGCCTTTGATATTTCTTCATGTAGCTTGTCTGCTTATTTCCCAAAATCTGGGAAGACTAGCCTGAAAAAACAATTCACGTTTTCAGTAGTCGCAGTCAAGATTTTGAAGCTGTTTTTGGGCACCTTCTCCCTAAATATCTTAATTTTGCCTGAGTGAAGACTTAATAAAGACTTAAATAAAGGTGCACGGATATGATAATTTAATGTTTTTTTGGTGATGAAAGGGTAGGCTCTGATCTTAGTAATATGCACAACAAATGTACTAACGATTAATTCTTTCTACATCCTTTTCCAAAAAAGGGCAGTAAGTAGCAGTGTAATTAAAGGAACATTTGTTTAAACAAATGAAATTTTGCCTAGAAGCAAATGAAAAAATAACACTACCATTAGTATTAAAGTCTGAACTGTGCTGAAATTACTGGGAATGATCACCCACGTAAACTGGATCAGAGTTTGGCCCTTGTTTCCCTGCAGCTGAGTAATAATTGGTCTGGTTCTCTTTCACGCAACACCAGCAATGTGAAAAGAGCCCCAAAATAAGAGTAAGTTGCATTTATTTATATTTTAAACTTTTTTACATTGACAGATTTGTTAGTATTAATGAGAACCAGTGTTTGTTTTTTTCCCTGTTGTCAACCTCATTTAGACTTTTCCATCCTACTTTAAAAATGTTCTTGATTTAGATCTCTTTGTCAGCAAGGTGATGAGGGACTGTAAACCCTGAAATACAAAGTACCATCATAAATGTGTCAGAAAGTAGTAGCTGAAGCGTGCTGTTTCCTTTGTTTTTCTGAAGAAATGGAAATTTTAAGCTATGCTAAGGTCACAAGATGATACCAGATGTACTTCTTGGCTTCAGCACAAGACTCAAGAACAAATACTTAAAAGAAACAAAACCCACCTCTATTACAGTCCCATGAAGGCTGTAATCATGAACCAAAACATGACTTTTGTATTCATTACATTAATAGCTACCGGAAATGTATACATCCTTTTCCAAAGAGGAATTGGTGGGGAGAGGGAGAGTTGATCCTATTTATGCTCTGTGGCACAGATCAACAAGTGCAGGGACTTGGCTGCTGCCTTTGCAAGGGAGTATTTTTATGCATGGGCTTATGTGATGGAGGACTGCATTCTGTTTTGTGAGCGGCTGATACTAAAGATTAAGGGGTTTATTCAAATTCTTGGCTTCAGCACAAGACTCAAGAACAAATACTTAAAAGAAACAAAACCCACCTCTATTACAGTCCCATGAAGGCTGTAATCATGAACCAAAACATGACTTTTGTATTCATTACATTAATAGCTACCGGAAATGTATACATCCTTTTCCAAAGAGGAATTGGTGGGGAGAGGGAGAGTTGATCCTATTTATGCTCTGTGGCACAGATCAACAAGTGCAGGGACTTGGCTGCTGCCTTTGCAAGGGAGTATTTTTATGCATGGGCTTATGTGATGGAGGACTGCATTCTGTTTTGTGAGCGGCTGATACTAAAGATTAAGGGGTTTATTCAAAACAAACTGAATAAGGAGAAGGAAAAAAAAAAAAAAAAAAAACATTGGTTTTGGGTTAAGCTTTTGGTAGCAGGTGGTGGACATTATTGTCTTGCTGATGTCATTAGTTAAATTTATCTGTAAGAAACTGAGAAGGAATGAAGGAGTGGCTTCTGCAGAACACTTAAAGGCAGGCACTGGCTTGAAAAGACTCCCTGTCTCACATCTAAATAACGTTTCACAATGAGATAAGATGTTATTTGCTTGGCAGCTCTAAAGTTGGGTATTGTGCAATACCCAGGCACCTACGGTGTCCTTTGGAAAAGCTTCAGATGCCTGAGTTAGGGAGAAGCTGCACCTAAACTATCCCTATGCATCTGCTTGAGCCCTGTGAGAACCTGAAACTTCAGGCAGAGCTGCCCATGATTGCACTGCTGGACATGCTCAGGACATAACCTTGCTGAGCTGATGGCCTGCAAACTCCTCTCCTGCCAAAAGCCTCTTAGGGATTGGGAGGGGTGGCATGCCAATATGTAACGCCTGAGGACCTCAGCAGACGAAGCATGACTGAAGCCGTGTCTCAGACTGTGAAAGCAGTGCTCTTACTCCCACCCGCGTGTTGCAGAGTAACCTGTTAGTTTGAGCATTTTCTTACCACCTCATGTCAGGGCAACAGCTGCAGTTAGGAGGAGGTTCCTACATCAAGTAGGTGTGGAGGTGATCCCGTATCTGCATGTCCCACTTCTGAAACCAGAGGCTTAACAATACACCTGCATGCAGAAACAAGGATATCCTTCCAAGAATACATGCCACCTCAGTTAGAAATTCAGTTTAGAGGGGTGTACACTGAGAAATGACAAGACCGTTACAAGTGTAATTACAGTTTTCTTCAGTGTTTTAGTACTGGGATGGCAGTCATGTTTTGCAGATCTAGTTAGTTTTCTCGGGCTCACGGTGTGTGTCCCCTTCCTGGGGGATCTCCTGTTGGTGCCTTGGAGCTTGCTCTGACACCCCACCACAGTTGTGTGTTCCTTCTGAAAGTTGAGGATATATTTGAATGTTTTCCCTTAATCATGCATGAAATATTTGACTGCTTATTGTGATTTATGCTCCAGAACAGGTTATTTTTCCAAAAACAGCATTTCTTTTTAGATAAATACTTTTTTTCATATAAAAACACATGAAAAATCAGGTGTGGAATATGTAATCTGTGTGCAGTGGGATAGATCTGGTTGTTCTCTCTACATCCAACACTTCCACTTTATTGAAAATACAGTTAGTTACCCACATAGCATCTAAGCCTTAACACATGGTATTGTTGTAATGATGACTGTTGTTGTTCTTGACAGAATCCCTAAATGGATCTTGGAAAGAAGGAGGATTTGTGCCTTCTAGTACCAGCAGCAGTGGATACTGGAGCTGGAATGCTCCCAGTGACCAGTCCAACCCATCCACACCATCTCCACCTCTGTCAGCTGATAGCTTCAAAGCTTTTCGGACTCCTTCCCAGGCAGATGATGGTATTGATGAAGGTGAAACAAGCAACCTTCTCTTTGATGAACCCATTCCTAGGAAGAGAAAGGTTAGCCACATGTTAAATTCCATTCCCATGGGCAGATACAGTGTTGGTAGACTTCTTTTGCTGTGAGAAATGATCAGCTCAGCCAAACAGCTCTGTATTTGTGGATGCCCTCCTTGGCATCCAATTAATGTAGGTACTTAGCCTAGTCACGGTGTCTCATGGAACCCAGTCACCTGCTGCACACACGCGCTGCCATCAGCACCACATATTTGCTGGCAGATGGTGAGGTTCTACAGAGCCTCCTGCTCAGAAAACACTAGAGTGATTTCCAGAAGATGTTGTCTCTGGCCATTCAAGGGATTTCTATCCTACTTTGGCACATTCTCTGTGTGCAGGATGCAACAGGCAGCCTTAACATGTCTTCACAGAAACAGGATATGGCCTTAATACTTATTGTTCTCTGAAAGTGCTGTTTGTCTGACAGCATGTCAGATACCTTAATAGCTTGGAGCCTTCTCTGTGCAAACATATGGAGTGAAAAGAGGAGAAAGAGATCAAACTTGATAGCTTTTGATATGTTATTAGCAGTGGCCAAATTTATCTCTGGTAGAAGTCTGCAAAAGCAGACTAAATAAAACACAATGTGAAAAACAAACAAACAAACAAAAAAAGAGCCCAAAATGAACCCCTGAAAAGCATTGTTACACTTGCAAGCAACCTCCTCTCGAAGAAAAAGAAAACAAAGAGATGGCAGTAGTCCAAGTTTCCTTCCCTCCCAACGCAACAGGACAGATTTTACATAGCAAGATGAAAAAAGGCTTTTTGTAAGATAGAAAAAAGACAAGATAATTTATTCTCCTTGGTGACTTTATTTCTGGCGCAGTCAGGGATAGTTTATTGCTTCATCACCAGCAGGAAGAAGTTTTAATGGTTACTTAAACCTGTTCAGATTTATCCTTTTGCTCCAGAAGTTGCTTATTCTATGATTCTATGATGATTTGCCCACCCACCCGGTTCTGCCCTTATTTGTGGGATAGGGGTGTAAAATATTTGTGCTTCTTGCTAAAAAGGAAAAAAAAATACTTTGCAGGACACCTTCATTATAATAAGTTAGGGCTGACTGTTAAAGACAGGGACAGTTTTGGAAGTAGGAAGGAGTAGGAATGTAGGTTTCCCTTATACTTCTCAGTTGAAGTTGAGCTTCTTAGCATCAGTTATTGCTCAGCTGAGATGAGACAGATGGGTTTGCAGCTTCATCTTTATTGTTGTCTAAGTTGTCTTCGAATATTTCTATTTATGTACCCACCACAGATCTGTTACTTTGTCTGTTCTGGTTCGCAGGGATTTTGCTCTGGAATGCAAATGTTTAATTTAGATAAATGAAAACATAACCTGCCAAACTTTGTTTTATAAATGAACTGCATTACCTGCAGGTTTTCTTTATTCTTGTCCTAGCATGGCGCTTTATCTGAGTACAGCTTTGCACCTTGAGGAGCTGAAATAAATATGTTCAGGTTATATCTTCCTCAGGGCTGCAAAAATCAGAAGGAATATACCTGGAAATTGAGTGATGGGTGACCTTACTTTTACTTACTAAAGTTTCCTCCATTTCATGCTTGCGGAATGTTATGTTAGCAGCCACTTGCCATCAAGAAAGTTGCTTGCTTTAAAGTTTTCACTGGTGTAGTTATTCTTTACAAAACCATTTATACTCCATTATTTTCTTAAATAAAATACTGAGCCTCATAAGGCAATTTTTTGACTAGTCAGAAATGGTAGCATGGTTTATGTTCTGTATTTCTACTGAGTGAGATTTTATTTGGTTATATTAAAATGCATGAGTTTTTTCACTGATAATAGTATTGACAATATAACCAAAACCACAGTGGAGCTAGGAGATTGGTTTTACCATCAAACTAGAGATTGATGTTAAACCATTCTGTGTTCTTAAAGCTGCATATGATGTTCATGATGTCATATCAGAATTCCTAAGATAGGAGGTGAGTGATCAGCATGGTCTTCATCTTGTTGCTGTGGTTAGTTGTGGGTTTTTGAGCTAATGATAGTATTTAGTATTAGAGTAAAAAATGTATCTATCAGAATTACTAGATAGATTACATTTCATTTTAGGAAAAAAGAGTTCTGTATCTGTTTGAATATATTTGTATTATCAGGAAAAAAATTCTAGAGGGAATTTATGTTCAATTGATTCCAAAGTAGAAGGTTTTCATACAAACAGTATGATCACGTACCACAGATCTGAAAGCCCTTAGCATCCATGCTTTCAAACAGGAGATGTTAGACTGCCAAGTGATTATGAGAACATACTACTACAATCAGCTTGTATTTTAGAAAGCCCATCAGCTGTGATTTGTGAAAATTACATTCCAGTCACCATTCTTGTAGCAGATGCTGAAACTTACCATCTACTGGCATGCAGTTCCAAAGGGTCCAAACCAAGTCAGCTTTTGCTCAAGACACAGCAAAGCATGTACTTAACTCTTAAGAATGTTCTTGGTACTTAAAAAAAATAAATGGAGCTTTATATTAATGTATTCTTTTAAACTTACTTGTAACTAAAATTGTAGCACAGTGAAACATTTTGAAGTATTTTGAAGCTCCTCATGTTTTCTTTAATAACATGTTCTGTATTAATAGAGAAGATTATTTTTGAGATGTACAAATTATTTAGGTTTTTTTATTTAAAATTTGTAAAGTAGGTTTTGTTTGGGGTTAAATTTAGCTTTTAAAAAACCTGTGCAGTTCTGCAGCATCTCTGGTTTTTGTTACCACATACTGTGCTTCAAATTAAGACTATTTTTCTCCACAGGCTTTAAAATACTGAAGGTTGGGCTGGTTATAGCCTTCCTGGCTGTGCTGTAAATCAATGATAATTCAATTTAGGACACTGAAGTTATATTAAAGAATATGACAATATTAAAATGAAATTATAAACATATTCTTTTTAAAATGTTGAACACAGCCAGATGGCTTCTCATTCTCTTGTCCAAGTGTTGGTCATAGCAGCTTCTGAATGAAATAAAACAGGTTTTGCCAGCTATCAGGTGAATTCTGTCATTGCTGAAGATAAATTTTCCAAGCAAATATTTTCTCTATGTTGCAAAATTCACAAGCAGAAATATTCATAAGAGCTGGCTTTAGGAAAATCGTCATTTAAGATGATGCCTTAAGGGAGAAGTCCTCATCAGCTGTTCTTTGAAAGGCTCCAAAGACGTGTTGGAAGTTTTTACATTGTCTGCCTCCTTTAGTGGGGAGACAGAAGAAACAGGAACTTGCAAATGAAAAACCCATACCAACAAGCACGGAAAGGTAAAGCTTTGGAACAAGTGGCTCCTTGGCTTTCCATTGGGATTCTGTTCAGTAGGATGACACTGTTGACAGAGACTACTGCATCATTATAAATTCAGAATTAGAGGCTGTGAACCTGCACAATGTTTTGTAATTGTAATCTCTTTTTGGTGGTCTGGTTTTCTATGTCTCCCATGCAACTAATGTTGCTTTACTTGTAATTTCCAGAACTCCATGAAGGTGATGTTCAAATGCCTGTGGAAAAACTGCGGGAAGGTACTGAGCACAGCTGCAGGGATTCAGAAACACATACGGAACATTCACCTTGGGTAAGAAGCAGTCTCTCCAAAGTGTGAAGGGTTTGGTACGGAAGGGGAACAGTCGCACTTGGCTGGTGCGCTTGGGAGGTGCGTTGCCTTGTCCTTGGCTTTTCTGTCTCAGATCCCTAGGTTTCTGAGAGAGTTGCAGTCTAGTGCATTGAGGTGAGCAAGAACTCATTGCAGCAACAAGGCACTTTTCTCTCCTGAACTTTACCAGAAGGTCAAATACAGCTCTAGGTCACACTGCACTTCCCTAATGGCAGCACAGCTCAGTGGCCTTTACTTCATGTGTGCTGTCTGCATGTCACAACTGGGCTGGTGCTGTGTGAAAGCAGGTTTCAGGATCTTGCATGAATACTTTCCATCTTTCTTTTCAAATCGGATCAGGTGCTTGCACTAGTTCACAGTCAAATTAACCAGGGGGGAAAAAAAAACCTACATCAAAACCTAAGAAGCCTAAGAGAAATAAACTAGGCTGCAATTCCAGCTGTATGTTATTTGGACAAGCAGAAGGAAATTAATCTTGTATGACATGACCCTGTTTCAGAGCTTTAGTCTGCAGCTGAAGTCTCCTGTGCAGTCTGCTGAGTGACCCAGCTGTCTCATACATAGTTAGAGTGGGGACTTACGGTCTTCACCTGTTAGGTGTGTGGAAATAGATCTTTGTTGTGTAAGTCTGTGTTACCCAGTGCTTAAAATTTAGAGTGAGGATGAGGTCTGGTGTGGAGATCAGAAGAGTCTTGAGAAAGTTGTAGTAATTGCTTTAGGCTCTTCACGGTTGCAACAAATGTTGCTTTGTCCTGTATATTATGGGGGCATCCTTTTCATGGCATAGGAGAGGGAGGAGTAAAAAGAAGAACTTCCCTGGAATTTGTAGTTTGTGGCTTTGTCAGAGAAAGGAGTTCTGGTGAGTGACTGGCTGTAGTCTGACAGATGGTGCTTCTGGTAGAGCCTTTCAAACCTGCTGAAA